ACGGCACTTGGTGAGCGTCGCTGGGCTTCTCCACTTACTGTATGCCTGTCAATGCTAAAGCTCTTCAGGTTGCACAAGCGGCCGCCAACCGGATGCTTGCTGCTGACACCTCGGTGAGCTTCTACATCCCATGTCATCCAGTGTTCGTCACTAACAGCATTTCTCTCTCGTTCCACCAGTCAACGCCATCCCCCGCGAGTCCTTCAATTCCTCTTCCAGTGTCTGCTTCTGCTCCATAGATCCCACGTCAATTCCAAGCAAGGTATGTCTATTGATATTGGCGCTTACTCCTCTATATTTCCATTAAACACCGTTTTGGTCGTTTCAGACTCCTGATCGAGTTGATCCCGCTGTTGTCCCTAAGCCGGTCACTTCGATAGAGGAATCTTCTTCGTTATCCTCATCTTCAACCTTCAAACAGGAGAGCATATCTGAACTTGTTTCCTCGTACCGTCATACTGATTTGTTCTCATACTTTGTAGGCATCGGAAGCTACCTCGTCTTTCACTTCTGTTCCGTCCTCACGGGACCCAGCAGTCCCGACCATGGCGACTTCAGCTTCTCTTGCAGAAACTCCTTCCACCGGCCATGCTCAATCTTCGGCAGACGCCTACAAGTACGTGAGGTTGTTGTCATCTTTTGCGCTCTAAATGCCCGCTTGTCTGATCATTCCTAGTTGCCAGACCTCTATCACACCTCAAGGTAACACCATCCGGGGTGTTGCTCCTACGCCAGAGAAAATTGCGGCTACGGTAACCATATTTTGAAAGGGGATTCCACCTCCAGCTTCCATCCCGCCGATGACTCCCTCGCCAACGCCTCCAGTCGCCCCATCTACACCTCGGCAAGCACTCACCACAGAATCTCTGTTAGATTTGATAGAAGGCGTGGTTGCCAAGTCGCTACTTCGTAACTTGTCGGGTCTCTAGTCCCAGATGGAAGATCTAGAAAGGCTCGCTGTCGGGCTTCACCTTCAGCCTGCCATCCGCGGCAACCGCTGGGTTCAAGAGCTTGTTGACGCCGTCGATTCCGTGGAGTCCATTGTGGCATAGTGCCCCGGGGATAACCATCTACTCCGCCGCGATTTATCCAAGCCCCGCTCAGCAGCCCACGCCAACCGAGCTCGAGGGTACTCTTCGAGGCTGTGTCCACGCGGCACAATCGACCCAGAAGGCTGCCGAGGGGCGCCTGCTCACAGAGATTGGGCTTCGCGAGAATGCCGAAGGTTTACTTCGCTCGTATCATCAGGAATTTGCGACTCTTCGGAAGAGCATGGAGAACGCTCAGGCTCTGACGGTTCACAACAAGACTAGTTCCGACAAATTCAATGCTCGTATTGATGATCATACCGAAGTTTTGACTGGGAATTAAAATCGTGTCCGTATTGCTGAAGATATTGTTGCCAGCTTGAATCGTCAGCTAAAGCATGCCAAGAGTGAGTTCATGGCCAAGATCGCAGCGAACGCCACCCAGGTGGCCAATTTGAGTGCCACGCTACCGATCTCCCATATTGTTGACAATCCTGAAGAGGGCAAGGCCAGTCGTCGGTACTCCGAACTTCTGGAGCGCAATCGCCGGCTCATGACAGCAAACCGCACCTTGTGATCTCGTGTGATGCTCGATCAGTTAGAACCTGATGTTCTCGTTCTCATTACCGAAGGTTCGTTTTTGTCTCTATACAGCGTATTCATGTTCATTTCACTAAGTGAGCTTGGTTTACACCAGGTTACTCCATCGGCGAAATTGTGTGGAACATGCTCGAGGTATATGAAAACAACAAAGACGTACTTCGTGATGAATACCTCAACGCTGATCCGACCACTTCGCGTGATTCTCCCGCGGAATTGCTTGCCCAAGCTGGATTTGATGCCGAGCGTGGTGACCCCTGGGTCCCAAGAGAATTTCTGTCTACAAGCGGCGCACGTCACCTGATACTTCGGCTCAAGAAGTTGCAGATTACTTCTAGCAGAAGCAAACTTCCGCTAAGTCGTCGGCGCCGATTTTCAAGAGAAAAGCTAGTACGCCACGTGCTAGCACTTTGTAGACCCCAAAACACTTTCGCAAGGATTCTTCGGGGAACCAGGTCCCTCCACTCACTCTTGCACGAGGTTCAGCGGCTGTTCTTTTCGTTCAGTCTTCTGCTAAGGCTCAATCCGCGGCTCTGGCGTCTCGCTCTTGGTTCATCCCGCGCTCTACTTGACTTCTTCCAAGAAGGCAGCATCGCGACCGTTCCAAGTCGTTTTCCAAGTCATCACCAAGTTCTCCGGCTTCGATAGTACCTGGCGACAAGTCTATCGTCAATTCAGATCGCGTGGCTACCGTGTTGGATTTGGTAAGTGGTGATGAAGACCCATCGCCACATCGTGCCCATTTGATCTCCAAGTCACGTTCCTCAAAAGCTCGTCGGCGTCCTGCTGGTCATAGCAATATCATTGCTACCAACCGGCCTCGGCGGGCTCAAGCCGCTCGGACTTTCGTCAAGGCGTCCTTGTTGGTTGAACAGGAGCGTGCCACCGATGCTGATGTTCTCGAGGAAAACGTTGAAATGGAGGATTTTCAGTTGAGACTCCTGTTTCGAAGACCCGTAAGCTCCGTCAACTCAAGCGATCCCCTTTGTTTGACTCTTTGGAATATTCGGAGGTGTCAGGTGACAAAGTTCCTCCATACGAATATTCGGAGGGTGAGAATAGTGGTACTGAAGCTTTGACTGACTTGAATAGTCAGTCATCGGCGGCCGAAGCGTTTGTGATTGAGTCTTCTGAGACTGCTCCTTCTTCGCATGATCTGGACGAAGAGAAATCAGCCGTGCCGACGTCTCATGTGACGGATGATGGTGTGCCGTTGACCACTATTCCTGCTGCAGATATCTCTATCCAGGATCAGTCGTCGGGACCTCCAAGTATGCCCCCACTTACAGCTTCCGACACCGATGTACTTACCCAGTCTACGGCATCCTCGGCCCCTTCCCTCCGTATGGAGCCGTCGGGTGGTACGCAGTCCACCTCTCCCATTGTCATCCAGCGTAAGCCTACCGTGAAAGGGAATGTGGCAAAGAAGACTCGAAGTGGGTCTGGCTCACAAGCTTCCTTGTCTTCGCGATGCATGATCACGGCATCTGTCAAGCTCTAACTTACTATTAGGTTCCCACAGAAGGTCATCAAGTGGGCTGGCTCATACTTACCGCCATCCTTCGCTCTCCATGGTTCTGACAAGTGCTGGATGAGAATTCTCAATTGCCGAGTACTTACTCCAATACCAGCTAAGCTACAGATTCAGTGTTTGGCGTCGAAGATTGCAAAGTTCGCAGATTACACGAATCCTCGGCACCCTTGGCAGAAGGCTCGTCGGCTGTTTCCCCTTCAAGCTTGCCTTTTCGATACCAGTGATTTTGATCAAGAAGGTTTACTTTCACAGCGAACCCTCCCGACCTCAGATTTCGTGGTTATTGGAGAAACGTTCGTGGTGCTGGTCACAAGAAGGACCCTGAGTCCGGCTTTTCACAGTAGGAACGCGATCACTGGATCCCTCCTCGCGCAATGGAGCTGTTTATCACGATGGCTTTCCGAACTCTTCGTCTCAACTTGGCTAACCTTGATCGTTTTGAAGTTCTCAAGATCAAGGCAATGATCGATGCTGTTGATGATGCCTAGCGCGATTACAACCTTGATCGTGTTAAGCACCACGGTCGACTTTGCATCAAGTATCCTTACATTTGTTGGAAATGGTCGCTTGAATCTTTACCTCCAGTTGACGGCATGATTCCAGAATTTCTGCTTGAACTCTCTATGCCGATCTCCGGGATGGAGTGCCTTACGTGGATCCCCAAGCCTCCAATGTGGCTTAAAGAAGTTGCTGAGCTTGATGCTCGCGAACCATGGCGCAATTATTGGTTGGATTGTCCGGAGAAGCCACCATACAACACGACCTTTGTGGTGGAGTTCTCCATTAATGTCCCGCAGCACGATGCGGCAGTTGGAGATCGACTGGAGCGAATAACGAGAAAGGACCGGCAATGGACGAGCGATCTGATTCTCTGAGCCGCCTCAGATGGTCATAGAAAGATGACATCCCAAAATAGTGACTTCGTCTCGGGCCCGATCTAGTCTACGACAGACTCCGATCTAGCCTACGACGGATCCCCATCCAGCTTGTGACGGACCCCGATCTAGCCGATCCGCGGTCTGTATCATGACTCAGGTAATGGTACCGCGGGTATTAGGGTTGTAGCAGAGTGCGACCGTCAGACAAACGCTAGTAGCCAGTGGATAGGATAGACAGGATAGGATCAGTTCCCAATATTCTTGGTTGTGCAAAAGTCTCCCTAAATTACTGGTTGGACAGAAGCCCCAAGTCTGCTTCGCGCGTCTACGTCTGAAGACCCTCCAGCGCTCAGCAAGTAGAGCCGCCTCGATAAGTGCGGCCCACCGACGTTTGGATTGGTTGGTGAACTCACCCCCAACACCCCGTGCTCGTAGTGAAGGACACGTAAAAGAATCCCGTCGAAGCATCCTCCGATAACAGGACGCGGGCTACGAAGAACGAGTGGTGCTCCACACCCCCTTGGAAATGCCGGCCCGATAACGCCGTACGACCACGGACAAACCCCACGACTGAAGGTGAACAACGTCGAAAGTCGTCATCAGAACTGACACTTGTCTATTAAGACAACCCACACCGCAACAAGACTCTACCCTAGCTACATCTTCATCCTGACCTGAGATACGCTACTACAAGTCCCGGGAAAATACCTGATGCAGCCATGATTCGGCCGCATCGGGCTTGTGCGAGGTCAAGCTTACACGAAAACGTGAGCCCGCTACTCCACAATGGTGCCGCGACCCGGGAGTACTACTCCGGAAGACGGAGTGGAGATAAAGCAAGAGCCAGTTGCGGGAGCGCCATCGATCGGAAGGTCGTCGGTGGAAAGTGAGCTTGATCGGTGGTACGTCGTGGGACGACCTGTGCAAGAAGGTGGAGCGTCTCCTGGAAGTCTGTGAGGAATGGCATTTATCGATCAGCGTGGAAAAAGTGAATGGGGAATACCGAGAGTGGATTACCTGAGTCATGAAGTGTCGAAAAAGGGACCCGGGGCGAAGCCGAAGAACTTAGAGACCCTCGCGACGCTGAAATTTCCACGTACGCAGAAGGGTCTACAGTCATTCTTGGGTAGTCTTAACTACTACCATCGTTTCATCCCGGACTTCGCGATCTACGCGACCGCGCTCTATTCCCTTACCGCCCGTGACTTTGAAGGACGGATCTCGAATCCTGAGACGCGCGATCTGGATAAGTGGACTCACGCGGAACGCGCGTTTGATACGCTCCGTAGTAAGATCGCGATTACACCCGTGTTGAGACACTTCGACCCGGATAAACAGCTGGTGGTAATCGTGTACGCGAGTGACTGGGCCGTGTCGGCCGTACTTGCCCAAGCCCATGACGGGGTATACCTGCCCGTCAAGTTCACCAGTCGGACGTTTATCAGTCGAGAGTGATTCCTCCGAGCGAAGAGAGAGGCTGAAATCTATCTGCTAAACTTTGAAACAACAGATCACTTCAACCGTTGCGGCCGGTCGCTATTCGATAATTAGCGAGGAACCACCACCATTCTAGCCGTCGAGATATGTAGCCAAATCCGGAGTTCATGATGTTGGCGTAGCCGGAGGGGATAGTTTTGGTAGTAGCAGCAGTCATAGTCACGGATACTGCCACATTAGCTAGCTACCGTAGCTGTAGGCGAGAAGTAGTCAGGGTAGAAACCGTATCAACTTTGCCGTAGCCGTGATAGTCGTTGCCGTAGTAGTTGTTGCCGTCTACACTCATTACAAGAGACGGTTGGTAGTGCATTTCAGATACCGACGGGAGAGCTTGGTGTGCATGTTGCTGACTGGAGCTGGTTGGGTGGTCAGCGTTGCTGGCGCACTGCGGAGAAGGCAAAATGGTAAGTGAGAGCAATGGTACGATTCGAAGAAGTTGTAGTCTACTACGCATGTAAAACAACAATCCATCGTCGACAGAAAGTTTACATTAGCGTGAAACCTAAATTTTGTAGAAGCCTATAGGTTGTCCGACAGTCGTGCGAAGCCACGAATTCGAATGCACCACACAACCTGGCGCCACAGGAAAAAATTCACCTAAGATATCGCCTTGGTCAGGAAATAATGTTTCACAAATTACACTGTACGAACGCAGTAGTACAGATGCTAAACTGTACTATTATGACAGTTTCATCGATACCTATATAATAGTACTCATATTGTTGTGCAACTAAGCGACGCAGAAACCAGATACCAACAAACCATACTGACAACACCCGCGTAGCGGGTGCCCAGAGCGCTAGTATATATTTAAAGCAGTAACATGTCTGTCTGAAACGAAAAGGCTACAAAAATACGATTGGTTAAAATTAACAAAATTATGATTGGACAAAGTACTATATATATAAAGTATGATTTGACAAAATTCTGTATGTCCAACCCTAGTGACGGCCGCGGACCATGTACGCGGTTCGCGGGATTGATGCGGTAGGACAGCACAGAGGCCACAATTTCCCAGGGAAGGCCAGCAGCAGCCCCCACCTGAGCAGGTCACAGATCAGCATCCACAAGTAAAACAGCGGAATAAGGCGGCCAAGATGTAGTTGACGAAGCAGCAATACGGGCACTGTATGCGTTAGACGTAATATTAGGTGTGTATACTGAGTTACAACATATATATATGGGTTAAACGCCGTATGGACTGTGGAAATGCCAATAAAGACGCTAACTACATGCTAAAATATCGCAAATAGTCCTGCAAAATGCCAATTTACTTGGGATTCCAGTGCCTAGCTTAATCAATGCATTGACCAGATAGGTGACTTGAAATATACAAAATGTTAGACACCCTTTTAGCAATTATGCATTATAAGGATTAAAGTAGCGTAGAGATGTTGGTGCTTTGAAAAGTAATTGCGGGACAATGGGATTAGAATTTAATCATTCCTACTTTATTATCCACGATGAAGTGCTGCTAGATACACAGTAGACCCCGTTGATTGCTATCTGCGATCTATATGCTATATGCCCACAGTAGGAATTTGAATAGGTTAAGTGCTGGAGGGTGTCAAACTCGATCAGTACCATCGTGGAACATTTATACGTGAACCACATTCACTACTTCTACGTGAACCACGTACAACTCGCTATTACGATATAGAGGGAATTTGATTGTTACCCCAATTTGTCATACGTCTAAATATTGAGATCTTTTCTAGCCCAAACTAGCCCATATAAGTATTTCAGTACCTTTGAATGTACGGTGTATGGCTGGTATTGACTATTATTAGTATGGTCATTAGTTATGTAATGGTAACATTTCTATTGATGAACCAGGAGGGCGCTATAAGGGAAGCAAAATGATTAGGAATGACGTTACTTTTGAAGAGCATACCAATTGAGCTAGACAAACACCTAATACGTTTGAAAGACATTCACGTTGCAATGTTCGTGTTGATAAAATTCTAGCCTATGACGGGTATGTTTCAGGTTATAGCACTTTATAGTAGTGTGTGTTATTGAAAAATGACGTGTCACACTAAACTACATGCAGTAAATATTACCCTAAATGAAATGAAACCCTCTATCAATATTGTATGCATAAACTTCGTAGAAATAGCAACTATACAGATCTTAAATCAAAGTACATGTATCAGTCAAGACTAATTTCTCTTAACGGGAGGCTCAATCTATCTGCTAAACTTTGAAACAACACGTCACTTCAACCTTTGCAGCCTGTCACTACTTAGCGAAGAACCACATCCATTCTAGCCGTCGCCGTAACCGGGTAACCATAATTATTGCTGTAGCCGTAGCCGCAATTCTTGAAGTTGATGTAGCCAGAGAGGATACATCGAGTAGTAACAGTAGTCATAGTCACCGATGTTGCCACGGTAGCTAGCTGTCGTAGTTGTATGACGCGAAGTAGTCGGGATAGTAACCGCATCAAGTTCTGTATAGCTGTGGTAGTCGTTGCCGTCCGTAGCCGCTGTACGAACCGGGTTCGTAGTGTTTCAGATACATGACGGGCGAGCTTGGAGTGCATGTTGCTGAGTGGAGCTGGTTGGGTGGTCGGAGTTGCTGGCGGACTGCGGAGAAGGCAAAGTGGTAAGTGGGTACTATAGACAACATCGATGGGGAGAATCGCCGTCAGATATTTTACATTAGCGTGAAACCTAAATTTTGTAGAAGTCTACAGTTTATCCGACAGCCGTGTGAAGCCTCGAATTCGGATGCACCACACAACCTGCTGCCTCAGGTAACATTCGCCTCAAATATCTCCTTGGTCAGAGAATAATGTTTCACAATTCACACTGTATTAACGCAGTAGTACAGATGCTAAACTGTGGTAGTTTCATCGATATCTAATTAATAGGACTCATATTGTTGTGCAGGTAAGCGAAACAGAAGAAAACCAGGTACCAACAAACCATACCCACAGCACCCGCGTAGCGGGTGCCCAGAGCGCTAGTTATATAATGAAGGTGGATTTATATATATGAGGACGTGGGGTTAGCTAGCAAATCTTTAGCGCCTAAAATGCTGCAAATGACAATTACTTGTAGTGCCTTGCCTGCGTTGCCTTCACAATCCCAAATCTTCGAACTGCGAAACCCTCCCGGGTGATCCACCCGGGTCCCCAATTTAGGTTTTAGGATATGCGTTCTAAACGTTAGCACGGAGTATGAAACATTCTACAACACTAACTGGTATGTATCAGATTTGGCGGGATAGTTCAAGTTGTGCGAAACCTAAGTGCTATAACCCTCTGGTTAACGACGAGCGAGCGAAACAAAAATAACCAGGTACAAAAAACCATACCCACAGCGCCCGCGTAGCAGGTGCCCAGAGCGCTAGTTTCAACATGAAAACAAGAACGAGTCCTAACAATCAAAGACATCATCGCTCGACCGATTCTTTTTTTTCACCGAACTTCAAGAACTATCGAAATGCATAATCAAACTTGATTACGCTATTAGGCGGTCTCATCAATCGGACGTATGGCCGTCAAGCGTCTTGCATCACCATCGGAGTCGGAGTCTCCTCCGCCGCCGCCTCCTAGCGCAATGTCGCTGCCGTCGTTGCCTCTCTCGCTCTTCGCGCACATCTTGGAGTTCGCAGTGTTCAGCTTCACCCAAGATTTGCGTCCTACGCGTCGCTCACTGTCTGGCAAATTCCTCAAAGACGTGGCACTTGTGGCCAAAAGCTGGTACGAAGCGGTGGACGAACTGGCGGCGCGTTATCGGCGCGACACGATGCAGTTAACGTTGAAGTTTGGCTCGAGGGTTGAGGTTCTATCGATCCGGAGGCAAATTCAACTGCGAGGGCGATCGGTGCGGGACTTGCGAGTCCGAATGGGGCGTTCAGACGGCTCGAGGTTCGTCACCGGAATTTGCTGGTGGATGGAAGACCGAGAAATCCCGTGGGACATTGTTTTCTCGCAAATGTCGGGGCTCAAGAGATTGGATTTACGGAGCATGCCACTGGAGAGTCGACATTTACCTGTTTTGCTCGAAATGGCAGCGAAATATTGTCTGCAGCTGGAGATGTTAGTACTTCCGAGGAAACAGGATATGGGTACGATGGTCAATTGTACTGCCATTCGACAAGTTATGAAGGTGTTGAGAAAAGCAATGGAAAGGTGGCAACTGAAAGGAAAATGTGGCGGTTTGAAGCAATTAGCGGTCCCAACACGAGAAGAAGAAGATAGGGTTCGAACTAGTACGACGTTTATTGAGGACGTGGTTGAGTTTTGTCCGAACGTGGAGTATCTGGATGGATACAATCACGCTATTGATGAGATGCACGACGTGACGTGTGAGGAAAAGTGGATGATTTCGTTGGAGACGTGGGAGAAATTCAACAAGACTTGCACGAATTTACGTGAGTTTCACTGGGTAGTAGTCCCCTTCGCTGACCTATTTTTTCGGGTGTTTGGGGAATATGTGAAGCCGAATTTGAAGAAACTTGCACTAACGTCGAATTTGTTGTGGGACTTTGGCGAATATTTCGCGAGGGATGAATCAACGGGTCTTCCAACCGAGAAACCTGGACACGGTTTACTTGCAAACGATGTGGTTGCGTTGTTTAAGGGTTGCCCTGCCCTGATTGAGCTGGAGATTTCTATCGACCAGCAGAAAAATGAAGAAGCACTTGCAACCCTTCTAGACGCCGACGTATTCGGTGACAAATTTTGGGATGCTGTGGTTCAGCACTGCCCGCTGCTGCAGTCTGTTTATATGCATGACTGCTCTGCGTACGGAGGAAGCCGTACTGTCAGACCAGTCCGAACCTTCACGGACCGTGGACTACTTACGCTTGCAGCGCACGCGCGCTTAACGTCCATTGAACTGTCAGCTGTCTGCTGCTCTGGTAGTGGTGTGTTTGAGTATCTCCAGTACATTTTCGAGTCGAAGCAATGCGCGGGTGGAAATCGCACTCTGGACATTTATCTCGCT